TGTATGACAAACTGAATGGCTACATCAGACCCGTGAGGATGTAGAAGAATGAAACAAAGGAACCAAAAGGTAAAATGACAATGATAAGTTCTAGTGCTTGACTTCACCAGAAGACAAGTTGCAACATAAAATGAGTATATGCTCGTATGAAATCTTTGAATCAAGACTGGGGTGTTCTATGTATCCTTTACCATGAGCATCCACTAAATTCATGCTTCCTTGAGAATGCGCAGACAACTTTCGTCTTTGTGACTAGATTACATGCTGCATAACTGCTGGCTCCCTCTCCTGTCCTCTCTTTCCGTCTTAATATCACATATTACACCCATAAAGAAAATGATATCATATGGAGAAAACTGTTCAACAGTACTCCAGAGTCTAGTTCACTGACTGTTTGACCAGTAAACACCATATTTATCCTAAATGTTTGGGCTCGACTGCTAATGATTTGTTTCTATCTCTTATGTTATTTAATCTTTATTTTACTGCTGGTTCCTTCACTCTTTGCTCCTCTTGTATTTACATTTTGTGTTAACTTCTGTGTTTTGATCAGCGCATTTAATTTTTGCGGTCCGCATAGTTATATTAAAGATCTTCTGAAGTTTTGTTCTTAACATGTATGCTAATAAATCTACGTTACAAGATGAGTTTTTCTAACAATGTTCCTCTTTTTTATTACTGTAATAGGTGGCACTGAAGGTTTATTTGCTCAGAAAAGTTTGGAAATTACAGATGAACTTCTCTCTACTTATAAAAACCAAGGTCCTTTCCATTATATCATTGTTATCCTATCAATCTTTATGTTTTACCAATAATCTGATGGAAATGTTTTTCCCCTGATGAAGGTGGTTTTGATTTACTTGGCCGGACGGTTGATCAAATCAGAACAACTGAACAAGTGAATGCTACGAGAGCTGCTTGCATAGCTCTGAAGTTGGATGGTCTTGTCATTATAGGAGGTAACTGATTTGTTCCCAAATTGTCCACGTGTCTTTAGAATCCTGGTGTTATATTTTCTTCCTTTGTTTGTTCCTCAGGAGTCACTTCCAATTCAGATGCTGCTCAGCTAGCAGAGAGCTTTGCTGAGACTAAGTGTTCAACAAAGGTACTTGCATCACATCACATAAATACTGCAATAAGTAATTTCTTCCCAAGAAAGGAAAATCTAGTCCTATACCTGCCTTCAGATTTTGATGGCTCCAACTTCTGTGTCTTGTGATGAGCTGGTGTTGATTATCTGGTCGGATCGATATTTCTTAATTTGCATTACAATGAACAGTGTCAAATGAATTAATCAGCACCTTGTCATATCTGCTAAAATTTGTATAATGTTCTCTTATAATTCTTTTTCCTCACATTTTTTAAACTAAATTGTGTATGAAATTATACACAGAGTTGCACGTGAAATAGCTAAACATAAAATACTAATCCTTTCGTCATTAATTTAAATATTAAACTGTACATTTACTCGTTCATTCGTTCTTAATTTAAACATTAAACTCTGGATCTAATGAATTGAAAGTATGGTTGCTCTCATGTCCATTTCTTCAAAAAAGTTGGTTATGCTAACTTTCCTATGTCCAAACACTTATTAAGGTATTCAGCATTTCTATTAATTAAAATATAAACAGTCTAGCTTATTGTGCAAGATAAACCATGTATTACCTAATTGTTTCTTATCAAAATGGTCCTGAATTCCAGCAAACTTTTTATATGCTATCGATCATCTTTAATTGCGAAATTCTCCTGGTGCCTTCAACCATCTATAAGAAATTATGGTATCAAATTCTAACACCAGTTATAAGTTCTGTGTTGTTTCATTTTGAGCTTCCAAGCTTACTTGATTGGAAACAATTATTTATATTGTTTCATTTTTTGACCTTAAAAAAGGCTTCAGTCTTGTGAAATATGTTTTGAAATAAATCAATTTTAGTTTTCCTTGAATAATCAGATTAGCTGTATGTATTGAATTTATCACATACATAATATATGTCTTGAATTTTTACTGTCAGGTGCTGTCAAAATATCGATTTTTATCATCCGTGCATAGTCATTTTCATAAAGTAAAAATATTTATTTTGTTCAGAGATATTTATACTTCTGTTTCATTTAATGAATTGACAGAGATGTGTCAGTTATAATCTGGTTCATGTTAATAACTGAAAGAGTTATGTTAACAGGTGGTAGGTGTTCCTGTTACCTTGTATGGGGATCTCAAGAATCAGTTTGTTGAAATGAATGTTGGTTTTGATACGATATGCCGGGTATGATTCTACTGATATCGTCATGTATCTTAACTTTGATATGGTAAATTTGTTTTTACAAACTACTTTCTTGCTTATTCAAAGTAGTTTCTTCTACCATTTATTCTTTAGGGTCAATTTCTGGCCACAGTGACTGGAAACTTATTCTAATTGTTTAAAAAACTTAAACATTTTCTTTCCCATGGAATTGTGCCATATCTTTTTGCCATCAGTTTCAGAATTCTGGGCATGTGGAATGTCTTAATTTGGTTTAAATTTTTTGTTCGTATACACTTTACAATAGCAACAGTTGTCAACAATTGAAATTTTTATTTCTCGTTATTTTCCTTAAAAGAGTCAGAAATGGAGTTAAACTTGATATTTTTATGCTTTTCTGATCAGCAAGTTCATTTTCCCTTGCAGGTTAATTCACAGATTATAAGCAATATCTGCACGGATGCACTCTCTGCAGAGAAGGTAATTTATATACTTGTTTAGTGTTGGTAAGTTATAGACTATTTATGAACATGGTTAGATGACATTGATTATCATTTTGCAAGACTGCATGATCAATACATGTTGGTAAACAGTCACAACATCAATGTTATATACCGGTTGCTTATGTGTCCTAAAATTTCAAACACCAATCCCCCACCCTTTACTAGACATCAGGATGATTTAGCAGATGTTCTAGATTTTGGTATTAGTTATTCGCTGCCTGTGATTACTGTAACTACACCTGATTATTGCATTTCCTGCTTACTAAATTATGTCATCTCAATTGCAGTATTATTACTTTGTTCGCCTGATGAGTCGCAAGGCCTCTCATGTAGCTTTGGAATGTGCACTCCAGTCACACCCAAATTTGGTAAGGATTCTGTTCTAGCCATAGTTTAGTGTCACAATTGATAATCATCTATGTTTACTCTGATGACACCTTTTTCATGAGAGTTCCTTGTACATAATTTTATATTCAGGTCATCCTTGGAGAAGAGGTTTCCTTGTCAAAACTTACCATTTTTGACATTACTAAACAGATCTGTGATGCAGTTCAAGCAAGAGCTGAACAAGGTTGGGGTGTGCTGGATTATAGTTTCTAGTTAATAATTCTGTCATTATTTTATACCTTGTGTCTGTGGTGTAGATAAATACCATGGGGTTGTTATCATCCCCGAGGGGCTTATAGAAAGTATTCCAGAAGTATATGCACTGTTGCAGGTATCTTCCTAGTTATGTAATAATCTGAAGCTTCATTATTTTAGCAGTATCCTTGATGATTACTGGACAGCATAGTTCAGAAACCTGCTACAAACTGATTTAACTCTAATTGCCAATATTTCAATATCTTAGGAAATTCACGGTCTCCAGCGCCAAGGTGTTTCAGTTGAGAATATTTCTTCTCAACTTTCACCTTGGGCATCTGCCTTGTTTGAATTTTTGCCACCATCCATCAGGAAACAGGTTTCCCTTTCGTGGTTTTGATCAGATAGTTTTGATTTCATGTACTGCTACTTTAGCTGCAACCATGTGAAACCTGTCTTGTAACATATTTTTCCTGCCATTCAGCTGTTGTTGCTTCCAGAATCAGATGACTCTGCACAATTATCTCAGGTACATTTGCTTTGGAATCTATGAAGTATTTCGTTCTTTTCCTTTCCTTTTATTTTTCTTTGAACTCTTGTTTGATGTTCATATATTTAGATTGAGACAGAAAAACTTCTAGCTCATTTAGTGGAAGCGGAAATGAACAAGAGGACAGTAAGTGCAATTCCTTTCATGTTTCTTTCTTTTCTGAAATCATGAGGATTTGCAAAATACCAATATCTGATATCCTAGAATATGGCTATCAAGATTTATTAAGGTAACTGTAGATGGTCAAAGAATTAACTGTCCCATATATTACCTTTATAACTGTACCTGCATGTGTGTTTATGGTTGATTGGATCCCTGAGAGCTCGTATTTCAATTTTCATAATTTTTCCTTATTTCCCGCCTTGAATTAACTGTTTTGCTACCTTTCCAGAAAGAGGGAACGTACAAAGGAAAGAAATTCAATGCCATATGTCACTTCTTTGGCTATCAAGCTCGAGGAGCTTTACCATCAAAATTTGACTGTGACTATGCTTATGTAAGTGCCAATAATGGTTTCTACTCCAGGTTTCCTAGGTAAACCAGTTATGTCATTAACTCGTAAGATTCATGTGCTCAGGTCCTGGGACACATATGCTATCATATATTGGCTGCTGGTTTGAATGGCTACATGGCTACTGTCACAAACTTGAAACAGCCGGCCAATAAGTGGCGATGTGGTGCTGCTCCAATTACAGTTGGGTCTCTGTTGTTAATTATAAACTCTGAATTAGTATTTTATTCTGGACAGTCCATCATTATGTGGATGAATGAATAATAATTCAATCTATGTAACTTTTTTCTAAAGTAGTCATCTGTATGTTTTTATGGCAGGCAATGATGACTGTGAAGCAATACATTGGAGCCACTCCAATTGGAAAACCTGCTCTCCACCCCGCCACGATTGATTTGAAAGGAAAAGCATACCAGTATGTTTATCTTAGTATCACTCTGTTATTTGTGCAATCACTTTTTCTCTATCCTATTGTCCTCTCTCTATATATATGCGTTTTTTTTTTTCCTTTCTAACAATAGGAACACATTGTTGTTGAAGCATCTTTCTTCTGCAAATGTATTTTCTTCACCATACAAGATTTGTTCAAAACCAATATTATAAGTTATGCTGATGTTTATATAGGAAGAAAAAGAAATTGATAAGTATCTTAGACTCTACACAGTTTGTCTCCTACCACCAAACCCTTCTCACCCTGCCTCCAGAATTCTGCAAGAGCTAATAATTTATCTTCCTTTTGTATTTTAGGTTGTTTAGAGAGAAAGCGTCAAGTTTTCTCTTGGATGACATATACAGAAACCCGGGACCAATGCAATTTGAAGGACCAGGTGCTGATGTGAAACCATTTACATTGTGTGTGGAAGACCAAGATTACATGGGTCGGATCAAGAAGCTTCAGGAATATCTAGAGAAGGTTTGTTCATATTACCCTCTATGATTTAATTTTTCTTTTATTTTCGTAGTCAGCCAATATGTTTACTCAACAGCTATTTCTGCTAATAAACATGCTTGTGATTATTTTTATCGCATTCTTCAATCTATGATGCCAAGTCCTAGCGGTTTGTTTCCCGGAATAACTTCAGCATGGAGATACACGATGGCATTACAATTGTTTATATAAATCCATCAGTTTTTTTGACATGCAATAAATATTTGGGACCTACTCATCTCCCGCATTTACTTTGTTTCTGATGCCACTTGGTGGGTATTGCAATATTCGTTCTCCAACCACCAATCAAATTGGTATCTGTCAAATGTATTTTATCCGTATCCACTAAAAAGCTATTAATTAATTATAACCATCATTTAAACACCTTTTCGTTTACACCTAAGGATAAAGCTGTCCATTATCTTTCTACTTCTAACTCATACAAATGGAACATTCTTGGACATGCAGGTGAAAAGCATCGTGAAACCTGGTTGCTCACAAGAAGTTCTTAAAGCTGCTCTGAGTTCTATGGCCTCTGTCACCGAAGTTCTTAGCGTAATGTCTGCTCCCTCATTCAACGGCCAGATACCGCTCTAAATATTGTCGAAACCTTGTTCATTTGTTATTCCCTCCTTCGAATGAACCACCTATTTGAGCTCTCGTACCTTGACGACGGGCATCCAACAGTTTTGGTGGTGGCGAGTGATTTTATTTTTCCATTGATGTATTTTGAAGTATATGAAATAAGGATGCAAGGATGCATGTATTTTAGCTCTCACAGCATTACTATACTATGTGCGGCCAGAATCTCGTTTGTTGTGAACAAAAGTAAGTAGAGAGAACTTCAGTTTCTATATTATTTGGCTTGGCCGTTGACTTTCTGATGTGAAAGTAAGCTAATGTGCGGTAAATCCTGTGAATCTTTGAAATGTGTTGAGCTTTATTTTGGGTTCGGAAACTTCCACGGCATCCTTGCAGCTAATGTGTAGTGCAATAGCTTGTAAAATTCTGCTTCATATCAGTAGGTCGCTTGAAAGCTACAGTTTAGATCAAAAGAACGGTTTTTTGGAAATAATTTTCTTTATTTATTACTCATGCATGTACGTACGGTTTGATGGAAAACTGCCAGTTTTCCAAGTATTATGATGTTTCACAAAGAAAAATTCTTTAAGGACCTAAAATATGGGACCAATAAAGGGGACAAGTGAGGTGTTCCCCTCCTATTGGATAATGAGTTGGCCATTATTAATGATGGTCAACTCATCATCCAATAGGAGGGGGACACCTCACTTGTCCCCTGTATTGGTCCCATATTTTGGGTCCTTGTAGCAAAGCTCCAGAGGATAAACAAGAACACTAAAAGAAAATCATTTTTAAAGGGTATGAGCATAACATTAGTCTTCATCAGAAACTAACCAAAACACAATCTTGATGTGATGAATAATTTTCTAACAAAATATACTGTCAAACCAAAATTGAGTTACATTATCAAAATTTTCTAAGGAAATATATTGAAAAATAAATTTCCTGAAGTTAAAATTCACGAATTCATGAACTATACCCCACGATTTTGTGCTATTTTTAGTCATCTCAATCCATGGATAATTATTTTGTAGAGTCCAAAATTAACAATTTCATGAGCAATAGCCTACAATTATTTGCCATTTCTAGTCATTTCGACCCATCTATGAATAGTTGTGCAAAGTCCAAATTCACGATTTCATGAGCTATAACTCATGATTTTCTATCATTTTTAGTCATTTTTCTCATTGATAAATAATTTTGTGGAGGCTAAAATTTACATTTTCATAGTTATAATTCAAGATTTTTATTCCCTTTAATTCATATGAATCCATTGACAATAATTTTACGGTGGTAAAAATTTATGATTACATCAGCTATAATCTATAATATTTTTTTATTTTTAGTCATTTTGGCCAATTGGCAAAGAATTTCATAGTGATCAGATTTTAAAATTTTATGAGCTACAATACATAAATTTTTAGCAATTTTTAGTCATTTCGACCTATTGGCAAACAATTTTGTTGTTGCCATAATTCATGATTTCATGAGCTATAACCTATGAATTTTAGCCACTTTTTGCCATTTATACCCATTGGCGAATAATTTGATGATGGCCAATATTTATGATTTCGTAAGTTATAACCCATTATTTTTTACTAATTTTGTCATTTTGACCTATTGGCAAAAAAATTTACGGTGGCCAAATTTTACGATTTCATGAGCTATGACTCACAATATTTGGCAATTTTTAGTCATTTTAATCTATTGCCAAATGATTTCTATGTTGCCAAAATTCATAATTTCATGAGCTATAACTTATTGTTTTTAGTTTTTTTTATTTTGACCCATTAACAAATAATTTAGTAGTGGCCAATTTTAACGATTTTATGAGCTGTAACCTACCATTTTAGCCCTTTTTTAATTATTTTGATTCATTGTAAAATAGTTTGTTAGAGCCAAGAATTAATGATACATGATATACAACCCATGATTTTTTTGTCATTTTTAGTTCTTTCGACCCATTGGCCAATTATGTCATGGTGGCCATAATGCACGATTTCCTGAGCTACAACATATGATTTTTGGACCATGTTTAGTCATTTTAGGTCTTTGACAAAGACGTCCTCGGTGACCAAATTTTATGATTTCATGAGCTATAACCCATGATATTTGGCAAAATTTTGGTCATTTCGACTAATTGGCAAATAAATTCATGGTTGTCCAAATTCACAATTTTGTGAGCTACAACCCATCATTTTTGGCTATATTTAGCCATTTTAACTCATTGATAAATAATTTTATAAAGTTCAAAATTAACGATTTCATGATATATAACCCATAATTTTTTGGCCATTTTTAGTCATTTCACGAAAGCAAAATTCACAAAATCCTAAGCTATAACCTGTGATTTTTGGTAATTTTTAGTCATTTCAATCTATTAACTTAGCGTTGGCCAAAATTTATGATTTCGTAAGCTATGACCTATGATTTTTGTTCAGTTTTGTTCATTTAAACCCAAAGGAAAAGATTTCGTGGAGTCCAAAATTCACAATTTTAAGAGCTACAACTTGAAATTCCATGAGCTACAACCCATGACATTTAAGCCAATTTTAATCATTCAACCCGTTAGCAAATAATTTCACAGGGTTCAAAATTCATAAATTCATGAGCTATAACCCATGATTAATTGCCATTTCTAGTTTATTGTCCCATCGAAAATAGTTGTACGGGGTACAAATTTATAATTTCATGAGCTGTGGACCCATGATTTTTTTGCTATTTTTAGTCATTTCTATCCATTTGGAAATAAGTTTGTAGAGGTTAAAATTTATGTTTTAATAAGCTATAATTCATTATGTTTGTTCATTTTTCTCATTTCAACCCATTGGCAAATAATTTCATAGTGATAAAGATTCACAATTATGTAAGCTATATAACCTATGATTTTTTGTCATTTTTATTTGTTTCAATCCAATGACAAATAATTTTGTGATGGTAAAAATTCATAATTTTGTTAGCTATAACCCACTATGGTTTGCTACTTTTAGTCATTTCGACCGTTGGTAAAAGATTCATGATAATAAAAGTTCATGATTTCATGAGCTATAACCCAAGATTGGCGACAATTTTTACTCTTTTTGGACCCATTGATAAATAATTTCATTGTTGTCAAAATTCATAATTTTGTGAGCAATAATTCATGATTTTTGGCCATTTTGAGTCATTTTTACTTGGCAAATAATATTGAGCTATAACACATGATTTTTTTACAAATTTTAATCATTATAACCCATTGCTAAGAAATTTTGCAGTGGTCGAATTTCAAGATATTAGGATTTAGGACCTATGACGCGTGAGTTTTGGCAATGTTTAGTCCTTTGGACATAATAGCAAATATTATCGCTATTGCCAAAATTCAGAATTTTGTGAGTTATGACCCATCATTTTTGGCTATTTTTAGTCGTTTTGACCCATTGTAAAATAATTTCATAGAATACAAAACTAATAATTTCATAATGTATATCCCACAAATTTTTAACCATTTTAGTTGTTTTGACACATTAAAAATATTTGCGCGGAGTATAAAATCACGATTTCATGAGCTATAACCCATAATTTTTTTCTATTTTTAATCATATCTATGCATTTGCAAATAATTTTATGGAGACTAAAATTCATATTTTCATGAGCTATAATTCATAATTTTTATTCATTTTTTTCATTTCGACCCAATGGAAAACAATTTCGTGGTGGAAAAAACTCACGATTTTGTTGGCTATAACCTATAGTTTTTTGTCATTTTTAGTTATTTCGACCCATTAGCAAAGAATTTCGTGGTGGCCAAATTTCATGAGTTGTAACACAACTTTTGGTAATATTTAGCCATTTTGACCTATTAGCAAATAATTTTGTGTTGCCAAAATTTACAATTTCGTGAGCTACGATCCATAATTTTTTGGCTATTTTGAGTCATTTCCACTTATTGGCAAATAATTTTATGATTGCTAAGATTAACAATTTTTTGAGATATAACCCATATTTTTTTTTACAAAATTTAGTTGCTTCGTTCCATTAGTAAAGAATTTCACAGTGGCCAGACTTCAAGATATTATGAGCTATAATTCACGATTATTGGCAATTTTTAGTCCTTTCAACATATTGGCAATATAATTTCATGGTTGCCAAAATTCAAGATTTTGTGAGCTACAGCCCATCATTTTTTATTATTTTTAGTCGTTTCGACTAATTGGCAAATGATGTTATAGATGTCAAATTTTATGACTTTATGAGCTATAATTCATGATTTTTTTACCGTTATTAGTCGTTTTGACCCATCGGCAAATAAATTCGTGGAGCCCAAAATTAACGATTTCATGAGCTATAGCCTACGATTATTTCCATTTTTACTCATTTAGGACCATTGGTGAATAGTTGTGTGGAGTCCAAATTTACGATTTTATGAGCTTTAACCCATGATTTTTTGCTATTTTTAGTCATCTCTATCCATTGACAAATAATTTTACGAATGCCCAAATTCATATTTTCATGAGCTAGAATTCATTATTTTTATTCAATGTTATTCATTTTGACCCATTGGCAAATAATTTCACATAGAAAAAAATTCACGATTTCGTGAGCTAATTCATGAACTTTTACTACTTTAGTCATTTTGACCCATTGGTAAAAAAAATTATGGTAGCTAAATTTTACAATTTCAAGAGCTATAACCTATGATTTTTATCAGTTTTTAATCATTTTTAACATTAGCAATTAATTTCATTGCTGCCAAAATTCATAAGTTTGTGATTTATAATGCATGATTTTTGGCCAATTTTAGTCATTTAAGCCCATCAACAAATAATTTTATGGTTGTTAAAATTCATGATTTCTTTTTGTGATGGCCAAAATTTATGATTTCATGAGTTATAACGCATAATTTTTAACTAATTTTTGTCATCTCAACCCATTGGCCAAAAATTTCACGATGACTAAAACTCACAATTTTATGAGCTACTACCCAAAATTTTTATCCATTTTTGATCTCTTTAACCCAAGAAAAAAGTTTCGTGTGGTCCAAAATTAAATATTTCATGGACTACAACCCCCTATTTCGTAAGCTATAACACATGACTTTCAGCTATTTATAGTCATTTCGACCATTGGTATATAATTTTGCAGAGGCCAAAATTCATGAATTCTTGAGCTATAACTCACAATTATTTACCATATTTAGTTGTTTCAACCCATTGATGAGTAGTGTGTGAAGTATAAATTTATAATTTCATGAGCCATAACCCACATTTTTTGCTATTTTTAGTTATTTCTACCCATTAGCAAATAATTTTGCAATGGCCAAAATTCACATTTTCATGAGCTATAATTCATGATTTTTATTTTGACCCATTGGTAAATAATTTTCCTGTAGTGAAAAATTCATGATTTCATGAGCTAAAACCGATGGTTTTTGGCCATTTTATTTGTTTCAACCCATTGGCAAACAATTTCACAATGGTAAAAAATTATGATTTCGTAAGCTATAACCCACATTTTTTTGCGATTTTTAGTTGTTTCAACACATTGGCAAGGAATTTCATGATGATCAAATTTCACGATTTCATGAAATATAACCCACGATTTTTTATAACTTTTAGTTATTTCGACCAATTAGCAAAATAATTTTATTGTTGCCAAAATTCTCGATTTCATAAGCTATAACTCATAAGTTTTTTCCATTTTTATTTGTTTTGAGCGATTGGCAAATAATTTCAAATTGGTTAAAGTTCATGATTTTGTGAGCTATATCGTGTGATTTTTCAATTTTAGTTATTTTGACCCGTTGGTAAAGAATTTCGCATTGGCTAAATTTCACAATTACATGAGTAACAACTCATGATTTTTCGCAATTTTTAGCCCTTTCGAACCATTGGCAAATAAATTTGAGGTTTCCAAAATTCAAAAGTTCGTGAGCTATAGCGCTCCATATTGGATATTTTTTGTCATTTCAACTCGTTATAAAAAAAATTCTTAGTGTTTAAAAGAAATAATTTTATGATTTATAACTCATAATTTTTTACCATTTTAGTTGTTTGGATCCATTGACAAATAATTTTACGGTGGTCAAAATTCACAATTACGTGAGCTATGGCCATTGATTTTTGACCATTTTCGATTGTTTCAACAAATTGGATAAATAATTTTATGCTTTTCAAAATTCATGATTTTGAGCTGTAACTCAAAATATTTTGTTATTTTCAGTCATTTTGACCAATTGGCAAATACTTTTATGGTAACTGGAATTTCCATTTTCAACAGCTATGACTCACAATTTTTGGTCATTTTTATTCATTTAAACCAATAGGCAAATGATTCCATGGAGACCAAAATTCACGATTTAGTCAGCTACAATCCATGATTTTTTTTTTCCATTTTAAGTCATTTTGACTCGTTAGCAAATAATTTCACAATGGCTGAAATTCATGCTTTCTTGAGCTATAAAGCATGGTTTTTTTACCATTATTAGTCGTTTCAACCCATTGGCAAAGAATTTCGTGGTGGTCAAATTTCATAATTTCCTGAGCTATAACCCATGACTTTTGGTAATTTTTAGTCATTTCGACCAATTGGCAAATAATTTTATTGTGTCACGGTTCAAGATTTTATGAGCTATAACCCATGATTTTTGACCATTTATACCCATTTCAACCCATTGATAAAGAATTTCCTAGTGGCCAAATTTCACGATTTCATGAACTAAAACCCGTGATTTGTGGTAACTTTTAGTCGTTTGGACATATTGGTAAATAATGTTGTGGTTGCCTCGTGGTCTTGCGAGCTATTATAACCCACCATTTTGCCTATTTTTAGTCTTTTCGACTCATTAACAAATAAATTTGCACAGTTCAAATTTAATGGTTTCATGCTCTGGATTCTTTTTCATTTTTAGTCATTTCAACTCATTTCAAATAATTTTGCAGTGGTCAAATTTCACAATTTTATGAGTTACAACCATGATTTTTTATTGTGTTTTGTCATTTCAACTAATTAGATTAATGATTTTGTTTTTTAAAATTTAGGATTTCATGAGCTATAACCCATAATTTTTAGACTTTTTTAGTTGTCTTAACCAATTGACAAATAATTTTGCGATTGCTAGAATTCATGTTTTCAAGAGCTATAATTCACGTTTTTTAGTCATTGTTATTTGTTTAGACTCATTGGCTAGTAATTCCATAGAGACCAAAATTCACGATTTAGTGAGCTACAACCCACGATTTTTTACTATTTTAAGTTGTTTTGACCGATTAACAATAATATTATGGTGACCAAAATTCATGATTTCATGAGTTATAACCCATAATTTTTTATCATTTTTAGTCATTTCGACCCATTGGTTAAGAATTTCGCAGTGGATAAATTTTATGATTTCATGAGCTATAACCCATGACGTTTGGCAATTTTTAGTTGTTTTGAACTATTAGCAAATAATTTTATTGTTGCTAAAACTTATAATTTCGTTAGCTATAACTTATGATTTTTTGCTATTTTTAGTCATTTAGCAACAATAAAATTATTTGCTAATAGTTCAAAACAACTAAAAATTGCCAAACGTCATGGGCTTAACTGCTACATTTTTTTGAATTTTGAATTGCTATAGTATCCCGCGTCTGGTACAATGCCCTCGTGTGCTACAGTAATATTTTTTCAAAACCGTAGCATTCAGTTTCATGATGGCTACGGTAATAATGCTACAGTAAATATACTGTAGCATGAATATTGAATATTGGTTCTTCCGTTTGTATAGAGGAATAGATTTGACTTTGCCGTTAACGTTTTCTGATGTGAAAGTAAGCTAATGTATAATGCAATAGCTTGTAAAAATTCTTCTTCATATCGGTAGGTCGCATGAAAGCTACAGTTTAGCGGCAAATGTTCAAGGCTCTCTTAAATAACAGATCAAAAGAACGGTTTGATTTATTATTCACGCATGTACGTACGTACCGTCTGATGAAAAACCCACTGTTCGCCAAATATTATAATGTTGGCAATTTTCTTGTTCATGCTTAGGCGTAAATTAATGAATTAATTATTTTACTTCTAGTTCATATAATTTCACTTGTGGGAACGGAATAAAAGGCTGGATAAGTTCCAATTTATTCCTAACACGGCATCAGGCATCTTTCAATTGATCATAGTATTATTAAAGGAGAATAAAATGATGAAAAGACAAAATGTAGAAAAAGAAACGCATAACAGAGGATATACAAGAAACGCTAAAAGAAAATCATTTTTTTAAAGGGTAAAAGCATAACATCAGTCTTCATCAGAAACTAAACCAAAACACAACGATTTTATGAAGATACGAACCGAGGAGATATTTAAAATAAAATAAAATAAAATAAAATTCTTGATGTGACAGAATAATTTTCTAACGAAATATACTGCCAACCGAAAGTGATTTGCATAATCAAAATTGAGCATGACCCAAATGACAAAAAAAAAAAAAAGGATTGCAGGTTCGAAAATGACAGTATAATTGCTCAGCCATTTGATCCAGCGATTTGATTGACCAAATAAATAAAAAATAAATCATTAAAAAAAACACCTATCAACTCTCCTAGGAAAGCCACAACTCCAGAAAACAGATATGGAAGGCAAAGCAGTGTTCTTTCTTCTTCAGACCAACGGGGACGCCATCACCATCAAAATCAATATATTTTTCATGAATAATGCACCAATAACGAAAGCTGAACAAGTAAGAATATAAATCCATCAACACTTCCTTCTTCAACCCCACAACTATTTTGACAGGGAATGCAAGTATAAGTTCATTGAAATCACCGAACAATTACGTACTATGGACTGCGAATCATGCTTGCAGTGATTTCAAGACCCCAACTCCAAGACTAACACGGATGGCCATCGATGCTACAACATCTTACCGCTGGTATTTGACATAAGGGAAGAAGCAGCAGAAGCAGCTGTAGGTACAATACCAGTCAAAACTCCAGGTTTTGAGAGATGCAACAGCCTGTGGGGAGGAAGAAAATTATGGGGAGGAAGAAAATTATCTCAAGATGCCAATCTTACAGCTCAAATTAAAGTGTGGATAAGAGAACTATACTCACGGAGCCAAATATTCACAAAATGATGAAATGGCAGACACAACTTCATTGTAATTGTCAGAAGCAGCCGGGGCTGTGATTTCTACCATTTGTAATCCAGGAGTCACAAGAACAGGTTCTTCAGTGGCATGAAGCTTTGGCATTTTATTAGTAGAAGTCACCGTAACGGTGATTTGGGCCCCTCGATTGAACCGAAAGGCAAAACCCACCTTTAGAAGTTCGTGGTCTAATTTATACCCGAGGGTATAGAATAAGCGCAATGCAGAATTGCTTACTTTGCTTTCCACTACAGTTCGAACCAAAACTGAGATTTGCTCAGCACCAGCACCTCTCATGGCACCTCCAATATGTCGAACAGTCCTAGCAGATGTTGAACTCCATATTATGATCATGTGATTAAAGGAATGAAATAAAAAGAAATAGAGATGTTGTTAAGTGAAGGCTTTACCAAGATGGTGTAGGCTGTGCTAAATCACACAAGAGACGGACCTCAGAGGCCACTACACCTAGAAGATGGAAAGGAGTTCATACAAGAATTAATAAGGTTATAAAAATCTGATGATATGAGTCACTAGTAGCTGCAATAAACTCACCAAGGTTAGGCCCACTTTTTAGGCATAGCTCATGAACTCTGACACGTTCTTTTGGAACACCGCAGAGGCCCTGAAGAAGAGTTTCCAGGGCATCAACATGCTGATGAAGAAATGCAGCGATGTCAAGCAATTTGGAATCGGGGTTTTATATATAACATTTTAGTGACATATAAACAGAAATGACAAAAGGGCAGAATTTCAGGACAGTCTGGCATGCTCTGACTTAACTAGTTTTACTTAGTAATATGTATTAAGAAAGGGTTTGTTTATCTTGGTTACATGCCAGCTTTTACAGTTGAATTAATTATCTGATTTTGAGCCATCACAGTGCATAAGATATTAGCAGCCCTTGACCACAATAAAACACAAAGATTTAAGTAATATTCATACACATGTAGTGGCATTCCTAATTGTATATGTTTTCTTCATGGGTACCTTATAGTTGAAAATTAAGGCTTCATTTGACAGGTGCTGACTTTAAATTGGAAAAATCAACCTTATTCCGCGTTGAAGATGAATAATCATGTAAAGATGATTAATGCCAAGGTCAAAAAAATTCGAATGATAGAAGGTAATGTGCGCGTGACGTACAATAAACCCGATACCTGTGTCTCAATGATCCCTTGCACTACACACTCCATCTAGCGCTCGTGATACGGCGATGTTCCTTTGTTCTAAAAACTAAGACAGAAGGTAAACACAAGTTAAAATCCCTCTCAGCAGACAACAGTCAATATGCGATTGCTCATCACGAGTTATGTGATAATCAAATGTAGATATCAGTTAAACAAACAATACAATTCCAATTAAATGCTGCTTACACATCTCCAATTTCCTCAATAATTTCACTGACTTTATATATGCTTCATCATGGATTTGTAAAAAAACCCTAAATTTAATTCAAACGCAAACAAAACCGCAGGTGCGTTTCGTGAACTAACAGCACAGTTCACCGGAATTATTTTTTAAAAAAACAATGATTTCAGCCCAGAGGAGGTACCTTCAAGCTCACGATTCTGAGACAAAGAGCCAAAATTTCCACGATTCACTGCGGTTTCACGTCAAATTCTAGGGTTTTTAATTGGGGAAGTGGAGGTGGTCAGCGATTGGGCGTGCTCGGGATCGTCAGATGATCGGAGACGTGATAAGCGACCAAAGCGCCACCGGTTCGGCGTCGGCTGCAGAGAGGGAGAGAGGAGGAGGAGGAACTCTAGAGTTTTTGGGAAATTCTTTGAGGTTTCACTCAGAATAAAGTGTAAAAATTTTCTCAAAATTTCTAGGTTTTTTTGCACAAAACCTCCTTAAGTTTTATAAATTAGAGAGAAATTTTTTTTTTTGCCGTTTACTATGCTTTAACTCTTTAAGAGCATGTTTTGGCTAGTGGTCAAAGTGGCTCGCAAGCTACTTTAACATGTTTGACGAGTGACTTGTTTTGTATTATAAGTTAGCGAAAATAAGCTAGAGTATCATTTCATAGAATTTCAAGCCTAATTTGCCAACCATTCTACTATTGAAAGTTGTCTATAATCCACTAAATTTACCAAAAAATTTGACTAATAATCTATTTGTGGCTTATAAATTAAGTAGATTATAATCCAAAGTTGCTAAACACGCTCTAAATAGAAAATAGAAAGTAAAAAGTATATAATGGCTTCAATAAAAAGAAAGTATACATGCAACACGCACATCGGGTGTTTGTTTGCATATAAGTGGTTATGAAAGTAAAATGCAAGAAAATTAGCACATATGATTTAATGCAATTTTGACTTCCCCTAAAAAAATGGTGAAGTCACATGAAAGTGACAAAAATGATAACAAATTTTAACTAAATGATTTTAACTACATTTACTAATTATTCTAATTTTGCCACATCATCTTCACATTTCACTTTCAACGATAAATTCGTTTTATCAAACAAATATTGTATTCCCCTTGCATGCTGTCGTGAATGTGAAAGTTATTTACAAAAAAAAATATAACTTACATAATTTCAATTCACTTTCGAACAGCCAAACAAACAACCCCTAACTACATTAGATAATGACTTATAAGGGCATCTCCAACAGCTTCTCCAAAATTTTTTTCAAAATGTTTGAGCAAAAGTCATATTCTCTAACTAATTTTTACACCAACTCTAACAGCTTCCCCATTTTGAAGAATCCATTTTTTCCTCTAAAAATTTGGAGAATGCTGCAGATTTGGGGAAGCTTCCTCATTTTTTCTCCTCCATCCCTATTTTGGGGAATAAGATGGGGAATCTGTTAGGCCAAAAACCTAACTAAATTCTCCAAAAGTGAGAAATGAGGAAGCTGTTGGAGATGCTCTAATAAAACAGGAAATGATAGTTTCATCTCATTTAGAAAGTTTGGGAGGTTTTATTAGATTTATCCCAAAACTAGTGTACGAGCTTGCATGTGCAAGTATATGCCCAAGCAACCGCAAAAACGTAGTTTCGTAACTTCACATGTGAAATTGTTAGATGCGATTGTCCAACAGATAAATTCCATAAATTCCAGAGAACAATCGTCACAGTATTTACAAGATCCCATCAGAAATCACCGAGTACATCTACAAGTCCAGTGACCAAGTTTTTTTTTTTTTTCCAAGAAACTACACACGGAACAAAACCAGAAAGTCATCACGTCCGGCTCTAAAAAGAATCACATTTGATTCTATGGTGACATAAATTTACATATATTCTCTTTTACATTAAGAATCATATGTACATACCGATTGGGTTGTCGGACTCCAGTGTATGGGTATATATTTACAAACTTTTCACAGCAGCAGCAGTACAAAGATTCAAAGTGGTTTCAGGAAACTCTGTGGTGATGTCTCTGGTGAACAATAATGAATAAAGAAGACCTGCACAACCTCATGCTTCTATAAATAAACAAGACCCATGAAAATCAATTTGAGCAATATGTCATTGAGTTGAAATGAATGAAAATGAACAAAAATTGTGGGTAGCCTATGAAAATAAGGAATATTGAACGCATCATTAACTACCATTGGGTCGAAATGAACAAAAATCGTCGGTTACCGCTTATGAAAATCCCTTATTTTGAAGTGTGCATATTTAAATGTCATTGGTGGCAACACACAAAAAATATTAAAAAATAATCAAGAATTAAAGCTCGTGAAAATCGAGAATTTTAAAATACACATACTTTATCGTCACTAAGTCGAAACAGGCAATAGTGTACAAAAAAATGTGGATTATAATCCATGATATCGCCAACTTTTAACTTCTTGTACTTAATTCCTTTGCATTAAATAGAAAAAAAAATTGACCAATTCCTCGCCATTTGAATCTGTATCCAAAATATATGAATAATGGTTGGTCATACATCAACAGTTGTTTCAATCCTTACATTAATGAATTTGAGGCTAATTTTGATGATCAAGAGACCCAATCTTAGCTTTTTAGATATAATAAACATTTAATGAACTCTCTAATATCATATGAACTATTTTTTTTTATATTATTTGGTTTTATCATATCCATTTTGTATCTGCAAGTATATCCGTATTTGTATCCCATGTTAGCGGGATATGGATAAGTTTTCCTTGCCGAAGTATAAATGTATCCATATCTATATTTGTGAATGGCAAGCGAATATGGATAAGTATTATATCGGAACAGTGTCCAAACCATGCGCATCCCTAAAATTGCAGCCTATGAAAATTACGTATTTTGAACTACTTGTAATTAATTGTCTTCGGGTTGAAAACATGAAATAAACAAAAATTAACAGAAATCGTGACTTTCAACCCATGAAAATCATGAATTTTGATGTAAAGGATAATCAATTGTCTTTGGTTGAAATACACAAATATTAATAAATCGTGGGTTGTAGCCCATGAAAATCAGTAATTTTGAACTGCGAATACTAAGTTGTCATTGGGTTAAAATAGAGAAATTAAACAAAAATTAAGGAATATAATCTATAACAATCCCGTATTTTAACGTACACATACTTAATGTCACGAGTCGAAAGGGGAAAAAGATAAAAAAAATTGCGGGTATTAGCCCAAGTAAATCGAGAATTTTAAAATACACATACTTTACAGCCATTAGATCTAAATGAACAATAACATACAAAAATCATCAACTACAGCCCATGAAATCGCAAATATTAAACAACTTGTACTAAATTACCTTCGAGCAATTTCAGATGCAATTTGATTATAAAAATCTTAAGTAATAGCTCATGAAAATAGTGAATTTTGAAGAAAGCATACTTAATTGCTTTTGCGTTGAAACGCACCAAAACTAACAAAATATGGTTGTAACCTATGCAAATCGTGAATTTTGAAATGATTTTTAATTAATCGCATTTGGGTTCAAAAATACAAAACTTGACCGACATTGTGAGTTTACCTATGAAAATCGTGAATTTTGAAGTAACCTTGCTTAATTGCCTTTGGGATGAAATACACAAAAATTGAAAACAAAGGCATGGGTTATAGAGCCTAGGAAAATCACAAAATTTGAAAGTATCAAATGAATCCAAACGAATAAAAATGAACAAAAAATGTGGTTTATAGTTTATAAAAATCAGGAATGCGTATTCAATTGACCTTTACTCGAAATAGACAAAAAAAAAACTAAAATCGTAGGGTATATCCTATGAAGATCCCGAATTTTGAACTACACATTCAATTGTCATTGGATTGAAACAGACAAAAATGATTAAAAAAATATGCATACTTTATCGCCATTGAGTTGGAACGGGCAATAATGTACAAAAATCATGGATTAAAGTTCATGAAATCACAAACTTATAACTCCTTATAGTTCATTGTTTTTGCATTGAAATAGATAAAAACTAACAAAAATCATGAATTATAGCCAATGACAATTCTGAATTTTGAAGTACATGCACTTAATTGTCATTAGGGTGAGCTTCAATGGAGAAGAAGAAGTGGACGAGGTGGAGAAAAGGATTCTTCACTGCAGAAGGATTTGTCAAGGTGGACGGAAGATGGAGGCGGAGAAATTAGGTGTTAAAGAGTTTCTTTGGGTTCCAAATACAAAGGAGAGTCGGAAAGCAAACGAGAAAGGGGTTGAATTTTAAAAGCAAGTCAGGTAAGGTCTGGTATGAAAGGGCTGCTTATCCACTATTAAGTTTTGTTTAAAAGCGCTTAACACCGGTGAAAACGGTGAAAGCGAAGCGGCCAGGAACCGCTTCCAATGTAAAACCCGATTCTGCTTCCAGTTTAAAACCCGGTTAAGCGGGGCTTATTACCTTTTTTCAACATTGCAAGCATATCACCAAAATTTGTAAGTACAGCAACAAAAACCGAAAGTATAGCAATAATGCACATAAGTATACCAATAACACATGTAAGTGTAGCAACAAAATTTGTAAGTTGATGATAAAGATCTGGAAGAGGTAGGATGTTAGGACACCGAGAGAGATGAGGTGGTGGAGGAGAGGAAGAGACAGTGGTGGGGGTGGAGAAGGCTTAAATGAAGAGGCAGAGAAAATGGAGTGAGAAGAGGAAGAATGGGCTACAGGTTAAGAGAGGAGGAAGAAGACAAGGGTGTTTTGTGATTTTTAACTTTTTTTATAGATATTGTACAGAAATAGAGTGTATTTGATGTTTAGGGCTTAAAGGTAACAGAAAAAGTATTTTGGGTGTATAGGTAAAGATAGAAGTGAGTTTAAAAATAAAAGAGGGTAAATCTTTAGAATTAAAGGCAAAAACCCCAATTTTGAAATACACATATTTTATCACAATTGGGTCAAAACAGCCAATAATGTACACAATTTTGGATTCTATTTCATGAAATAGCAAACTTAAAACTTCTTGCACTTAATTATGTTTGCGTTGGAATAGACAAAAATTGACAAAAATCACAGTTTATAGCCTATGAAAATTGTGAATTTTGAAGTAAGCATAATTAATTGTCATTTGGTCGAAGTGGATAAAAATAAACAAAAATCATGGATTATAGCCCATGAAAATCGTAAATTTTAAACCATGTTTCATTGGAAATGAATGAAATTGAACAAGACCATTGGCTAAGCCTATGAAAATCAAGAATTTTGAACTACATGTACATAATTGTCATAGGTCAAAATAAACAAAAATTAACGAAAATCATGAAATTATAGCTAACGAAAATCATGAATTTTGAGGTGCACATGCTTAATTGTCATTGGATTGAAACATACAAAAATGATAAAAAATCGTTGGTTATTGCGTCATGAAAATCAAAATTTTTTGAAACACGCATACTTTTATCGCCATTGGGTCAAAAAAAACAATAAAAACACAAAAATTATAAGTTACCCCATTAAATCGTGAACTTTCAACGTGTAATTAATTGCTTTGGGTTAAAATAAACAAAAACTAACAAATATCATGGGTTAATTAATAGCCTATGAAAATCGTGAATTTTGAAGGTACTTAATTTTCATTAGTCAAAATGGATAAAAGTAGACAAAAATCCTTTTATAACTCATGAAAATCCCAAAATTTTGAATTATGTGCTATTTGAAACAAATGAAAATAAACAAATAATGTGGGATATAGCCCATGAAAATTGAGAATTTTGAACTGCGTGTACTAAAGTGCTATTGGGTCGAAATGGAGAAAAATGAACAAAAATCATGGGTAATAGAGAAAAATGAACAAAAAGCCTAGGTTTATAGCCTATAAAAATCCTTAATTTTAAATTACACATACTTAACCGTGATTTTTAACCCACGAAAATCACTGATTTTGAAGTAAGCAAACTTAATTGACTTTGGGTTGAAATACACAAAAATTGATAAAATCATAGACTATAGCCTATGAAAATTGCAAACTTTAAAGTAAGCATAATCAGGAGGGATCTAGGAATTTTTTGCTAAGGGACCACATATTTACTATGCATATTGTAGGAGAAATATAGGAAGTTTTAGGTTTTTATCCTAGTCCTTTAAAATTTTCATACTTTGCAATTAGTCCTTCAAATCATTGTAATTACTATTAGATCCCTCAAATTCTTAAGTTGTTTTGAAATTATTCCCTTAAATCATCAAGATTGATATTAGTTAGGTTCCTTAATTTTTAAGTTTTTTAAATTAGTAATTAGAGACATTAATTTGAAACAACTTATGAGAATTTGCGAACCTGCTAGCAATTTCAAGTTGCTTACCAAATTCTCATAAGTTGTTTCAAATTAATCTCTCTAATTACCAATTTCAAAAAATTTAAGAATTGGAGGACCTAATATTAATTTTGATGATTTGAGGGACTAATTTCCCTATAATTACTACTTCTTACACTTGATTTGAGGGATTAAATTCAGATTAATTTAAAAAGTAGGGAACCCAACAATAATTTTAATTACGTGAGACTAATTTTAATATAACCTATGAATTATAAGACCTTACAGAAAATGCAGTACTTTGAGGGTCTAATTCAAAATATAAAAGCTCCAAGGGACTAATATCTAAAACATGCTTTTTTGACTCGTTAGAATTGCTGGTCCATCACCATCTGAAGGAAAAGAACAAGACCATGGAGAAATAATTGAGTATGAGCTTTAATAAGTGGTTTGGGCCTTTGGGGGTGTTTGGGACTATTTAGGCCTTTGGATGGGAGCACCCATTAAAATCTTATAAAGACATCTCTTCATAAATTAAACAAACCTCTAAATTTTTAATAACATGTGTGGGACCACGTGCCCCCAGTGCCCCCACAGTAAATCCGCCCTTGATCATAATTAATTATCACTAAGTTGAAACAAACAAAATGGAGAAAAATCATGGGTTCCTATAAAAATCGCAAATTTTGAACGATGTGTCATTGGGAACAAATTATTGAAAATAAATAAAATCATGGGTTATATAGTTCATGGAATCAGGAATTGTGAACTACACGTATTTTATTGTCATTTGGACGAAATAGAAAAAGATAAACAAAAACCGAGGGCTTCAGCTTATGACAA